ATAATCGGAACGAGTCACACATACACCCTAGTACATCCCCGAAGCGCGGGGGATTTCGTTACATTTCTGATTGGTTGTCTTGTGTTTCTAATAAGTTGTTTAATAGTTGGCATGCTGAATCGTATACATAATGGGCTGGTTTAGATCAATCCTAACCGAAAGTATTTCTAGTTAATAGAATATTAAACCCAGAATGGTAAACCCAGTAACAAGATAAAATTTAAAATGTTTCGCTTTTTTTATTCATTTTATTCGACCGCGACAAGATCAATAATTCCATGGGCTTGGGCTTATGTTGCTGACATAAAAGCATCCCTTTCCATATCTTCGGATATAATCCATAAGGGTTTCCCCGTTCTTTGTCCATAAACCTTGTGAGGGTTTCGCGCAATTTCAAAAGTTCTTCCGCTTCCAGGAGAAATTCTCCCGTTTGAGCCTCATAAAAAGAGCTCGTATCAACATATGTACCGTGTAATATTAACTACAATATATAATATAAAAATAAGAATGTTAATGGCTAAAAATTCACACTAAAGATCGTGTAAAATGTAAACAAGAAAATCTTTGAAGAACAGGAATAAGATGCATTGTAATTATATATGACAATTTTAATCTTAATTTTGAATTTAGTGGCTTTATAAATTATAATCGTAGAGTTAGTTTTGCAATGATTATTAAAGACTTTTCAGGTACATTTGTTTAATGTCATTGTCACCTAAAATTGTAATATTGTAAAAATCACCTAAAATAGCTATAATAGAATAATTTCCATGCATGTTCAAGTAACTAGCTGTTTGAATTCTTAATATGTTTTGTTACATAAAAAAGGGTTGGCTTAAGGATTTGTAGGACTGAGTATTGATTAATAAGTAGCTTAGTAAAGGATAAGTGACCACATTTCTTAATTGTACTGTTATATTGGTTTCATCGATAATGATCCAATTGAGTAGTACGTACAATAATGCTTTCAGTAAAGTTAGGAAGTTTGCAAGTCGATTGATTAGCTACTTGATGTGAATCTTTAACTAGTTGGTCTAGTTCTAACTCCTAAATAGAGAGTTAGAGGAGGTGTACCATCCTTATAAAAAAAGGTTCAAGTTTTATTACAAGCAAATGTGGAGATTTACTGTAGGAGGGGAAAAAAAATAAAAAAATAACACTCACACACTACACACACTGATTTGCCATATAATTTTTGTCGTATTATTCATTGGTTTTTATTGCGACATAAAGTAATAAATGCAGAATATATATATATATATATATATATATATAATAAAAAATAATAAAAAAAATTGCCAATGCGAACAATAATTTTATGAGGAAACACTTGTTTTTTAAGTGGGCAAGAAATACAAGTTTATCAATATGATAAACAAAATTTGTTTGTCAAATGGCAAAATTGTAAATAAATCAACAACTTTTTAGTAAATAAGAGTCCCACTATTGTTGATATATTTACAAAAATGTCATGATGACTGGGCATTTATGTTGTTTTATTTACCATTTTGCCATTTGATAAATAAATTTTGTTTATCAAATTGATTAACTGGGGCTTCCTCGGCAAGGTTTACATGAAAGTCAATTATGTCGTTGAAGTACTTATAGTAACTCTGTTCATATTTACTGAACTGAGCTGAACTGAATATTTTATGAGAGAGGAGAATTAGGAGCTGAACTAAACTGAACTGATTGGAGCTAAACTGAACTGAACTGAACTAAACTGAAATGAACTGAAATTAAGTAAATGTAAACAGGTCCTTAGTCTATAAAAATAGTGTAATATCTACTTTAAATTAATTTATACATTGTGTTTATTCCAGGTAAATAAAAAAAAGAATCTATTTCATTTATCTCAATATAAGGGCTCCACATATATGATACTCCCTCCATCTTTTTATTAGAGCTCAATTTCTCATTTTTCACGGGAATTAAGGTTTTTGTAAATTCCTTAAACCATGTAATTAGAAGTACGGAGTATCAAATTACATTAAGTGCATTAAATAGTAAGGGAGAGAAAAAAGAAAAAGAGGTTAATAAATGCCAAAAGGAAGAAAAAGTACCTAGAAAGAAGAAGAAGAAGAAGAATGATGAAAGAGAACGTATGTTGGTGGACTAATAAATGCTAAAAATATTTGGCAAAAAAAAATCAATAAAAATTGAGGATAATTTGGGGATTAAATTAGAAGAAGGCCAAATTAGAAAATAACACCTGTTAAAAGACCGTATTTTGATTTTAACACCTTAACATTTCAAAGTTTTATTATAACACCTACTAAAAAATTAAAATTTTGGTTTCACCACCAGAAAACGGATTCCGTGATGGAAATTGTTAGTGGGTCCCACAAGTTAGTTCACTTTCCAAATTTCTTCCTATTCATTTCGACTATTTCCCCTTCCATTAATTACCCAACCAGTTATCCTTCATTTATACTTATTCTTTCAATCCCACTCACAATTTCCATCCTTTTCAAAAACCCCATTAAAAAAAATTTGATCTTTGAAAAATTCTGGCAAAATTCTTGATTTTTTTTAATTTTTTTGGAAATATTTTGGATACCCATTTGATTTATTGACACAAATGACAGAAGGGGGGAGGGGAAGGGGGTTTTGGGTGGGGTTTCGGGGTGGTGGAGGAAGGGGGGAGGGGTTTCGGCAATTGGGCAGGTCGCCGGCGAGGGGTGGGGTGGGTGAGGTGGCTGGAATCGAAAAGGGGAGGGGATGGGGGTTTTGGGTGGGGTTTCGGGGTGGTGGAGGAAAGGGGGAGGGGTTTCGGCAATTGGGCAGGTCGCCGGCGAGGGGTGGGGTGGGTGAGGTGGCTGGAATCGAAAAGGGGAGGGGATGGGGGTTTTGGGTGGGGTTTCGGGGTGGTGGAGGAAAGGGGGAGGGGTTTCGGCAATTGGGCAGGTCGCCGGCGAGGGGTGGGGTGGGTGAGGTGGCTGGAATCGAAAAGGGGAGGGGAAGGGGGTTTTGGGTGGGGTTTCGGGGTGGTGGAGGAAGGGGGGAGGGGTTTCGGCAATTGGGCAGGTCGCCGGCGAGGGGTGGGGTGGGTGAGGTGGCTGGAATCGAAAAATCTCGGTTGCTAAGTCCTCATTTTCTGCAACCTCTTCAGCTGATGTTGGTTCAGACTGAGGGTCAGTAGTTGGCTCCTCCATCATTCAAAATATTTGGAACTTGTGGATTTTATCAATTTTCATACAGACAATCTGGAAATAGTCGAAATGAATGGGAAGAAATTTGGAAAGTGAACTAACTTGTGGGGCCCACGCACAATTTCCGTCACGGAATCCGTTTTCTGGTGGTGAAACCAAAATTTTAATTTTTTAGTAGGTGTTATAATAAAACTTTGAAATGTTAAGGTGTTAAAATCAAAATACGGTCTTTTAACAGGTGTTATTTTCTAATTTGGCCTTAGAAGAATGATGTTGAAAAAAAAAATATATATTAAAAAGGAAAGGATTCCAACAATGGGACTTTAATTTTAATTTGCGTAAAAAGAAATAGTGGATTCTAATAAAAGGATGCAAGGAGTACTAGCATTAACTTTTTTTTTTAGGGGAATCATTATACTTTTTTTTTTTGGGTGTTCTACCCGGTTCACCCTTTGGGCCAATCCGGATTCGGGGATCAGTTCTGGGTGGTTAGGTTCCAGTCCCCTCCCGATTGTTGTTGCGGGGGATCGAACACGAGTCCTCCCTACCAAGTGTAGTCCCAATCACCACTACACCAACAACCAATTATACTTAACTTATAACACTATTTTTTATTTTTCAAGAAAAGCAGTGAGCCATTGAGAAGTTCAAAATTAAGAAACATATTAACTACGGAGTATTAGTAAAACAAAACATGTTGATATCATTAAGAAACACGAGCCCTTTCCCTAAATAATGTTGGGAAATTATCTAATTCCCAATTACAGCTACTCTTTTTTTAATTCCCATTATACTGTCCACGTCAGCTAAGAAAAACAAACCGATTTTGTTTTCTCGGTCCAGCAACAAACCGCTACTTGAAGTAGCGGTTTTAATTTTATAAACCGCTACTTCAAGTAGCAGTTTTCCTCAAAACAATGCTACTTGAAGTAGCGGTTTATGAAATTAAAACCGCTACTTCAAGTAGCGGTTTATGGGTTTGTTTTGTAAGTTTTTCTTTAAAAATAAAATATCTATAAATCAGTAATTAGTAAATACAAACCGCTACTTCAAGTAGCGGTTTTTAATGTGTAAACCGCTACTTGAAGTAGCGGTTTTTAGTAGCACGCCGCTACTTGAAGTAGCGGTTTTCTAATAAACCCGTTTTTTAAAAAATTCCCACTGAACCGGTGACGTGGACGGTATGGTGGGAATTAAAAAAAGACTAGCTGTAATTTGGGAATTAGATAATTTCCCAACATTATTTAGGGAAAGGGCTCAAGAAATACATGTTAAATTCTTATTAAAAAAAATTCCCGCTTTAACTATTTTTGACATCATTCTTTTATTTTTCTCTCTTTTTATTCTTCTTATGTTTCAAAACTAAGGGGTTGTTCTCATTGACTGAACTCAGCTGAACTAAATTGAAATGAATATTTTATAAGAGAAGGAAATTAGGAGTTGAACTGAACTAACTAAGCCCTAAATAAATAAAATACAATACAATACTTCTTTCAAAATTAATTAATGAGATTATGATTACACGTTTTTCGAGTAAAAATTGATACGTGTGTTAAACTAGTTTGTTCAAACGACGAGTTTTGAACAAGATGTTCAGAAAAGGAAATTGCCGTTGGCCCCATTTTCACTATTCACGAAATATAAAATCACCAAATTAACTTTATATTTTTATTTTTTTAAAAAAGGAGAATCTAATTCTCTAACGTCTATAAATCAGAAAACGTCTTGCACTGACATACCTATTTCAAATAATTTGTGTATTAATTAAATTATTCACATAAAAATAAATAAAATGCATTTTTTCAACGTTTATGTGGGTCCCTCATGTCTTCATCTATAAAATCATCCCCTTAATTTCTTACAATTTCTCTGATTTCTTTTTTTTTCAACAAAAAAAAGGAAAAAAAAATCGAGTCCGATTATTATTTTCAAGGAGCCTCACTCTATTTCTCTCAATCATTTTTTCTCTCTCTTAGACTGTGCACTTCAGATAAGGTGAATTTTCTCTCGATTTTCTACTCAAATTTTCAATCTTTAGACTTTGTTATTCTTTTGATTTAAGATTTTAATCTGGGTTTTTTTGTTCTTGATTGTTATGTGATTAATTGATAAATTCTTTTGATTTCTTGTAGGTTTAAGTAGTTGGGTGAATGATAGTGATTATAAAAGTTTTGGGTTTTTGTTTCTTGTTTCTTTGATTGCATTGATAGTGTTTGTTGAATTTTGATGTTACCCGTTTTTTAATTTCATCTGAATTGGTAAATTGAGTGGAAGATTGAAACTTTTTGGCGAATTAGGGTTTGAGTTGTGAAATTAAATTCAATTTAGGGTTTTTGGTATGAATTTGAATTGGGAATTCAGGGTGTATTTGGGGGTTGTGATTTGATTTCAATTGGGTGCTATTTCATGAATTGAAATGGGGTTTCTAGGTTCTTTAGCATTTTTTTCTTTTCTGGGTGCTCTTTATGCTTTATCTTTTTTTTTTTCCCTTTTTTTTTTGTGTCTCTTTCTTTTTGGAATCCAGTAAATCCAACATCTATATAGATATAAGGGGGGGAAGGGCAAAATTTTTTGTTTGTTTGTTGACTTCTTTGTTGAGATAAAGAATGTACAAATTACAAATTGTGCAAACTTGTATCATCAATATAAGGGGTAAAGGCTGTAGAAGAAGTTTTTTATATTTGCTTCTGTGATTGATTTTACGTTATAGAGGGTATTAGTTTAATGATACCATCGATATCATTTCCTGTTGGAGTGCGTAAGCGTGAATGATTGAATGAAGTTTCGGAGTCATTCAACCTTAGGGAGAGGATTTGAGAGTAGTTGATTATAGAATTTTGCTAAAAGGGAGGCAGTCATTGGAATTACATGATTGACATCTCTAATGTAGAATGTGGCTCTTTTTTAAATTACTGTTACTAGTAAAAGGATTTGATCATTACGCGGTATGTTTTAAAATGTTGCACAATTACTGTCTCTATCATTATTATTCGAGAGGAGGGAGTTTATATTTCCTTCTAGATGATACGTTACATATAGGTTAACTTTGAGGATCATTTGCAATTGGTTCAAAGTTTGACTTTTGACGATTGATTTATGCGTTTGAATGTCACTTGAAGATTTGGAGGCTAGAGAAGAACTTTAATGAGTTTAACGTACTTTATGTCAAATTTATCTTCATGAAAAGATGAAAAATCACCTGGGAAAATGGTTGTATGATAAGTGATAATAAGCATTATGGGGAGAGAGCATAAATCTTAGTAATGACTTTCATGGAAGGAGCTCATGCAGCATGCTGGTGAATAACATGTTGCTGATCATTAATGTAGGTTGAGGATTGATTGTAACTATGCTGTGAAGAGGGGAAAATCTTTTTTAGACATGTGATGTTAAAGATTGGGATTTAAACTACTTTTTGGGATGATCTAGCATGGAATAAGTGGTTGTTTTGTTCAAGGGATTTTAATTCCTAGATGCTACAGAAAGCTGCATTCTTTGTAATATACTTCGATATGCATATTTTCATATGGCTCCTTGCTTAACATATTGGTCGACATTCGCACTTACTAGGTGTCACGTCTCATTTGTTTTGGGAATTGTACTTTCTAGATAATTCTCACTCTCACCCAAGTATCATAATCATGGTCAGCCAAACAACACAATATAGCACTTTCTCAGACGTTTGTGTTAGTGTATTTATAGTCAGCAGAGAAGGTTTCAAATTTTTAGTCTATATAATTTGAACAGAGTAAAACAAGATTGTCGTAGTTAATGATGTTTACAAGAAGACCTACACTATCAGGCGTTCATGCTTGTAAGGGTTGCAACTCAAAATATAAGCAAGCAATAGTACAGTAGATTTCTAGAGGGTATTGTGTGCTTTGAAATAAAACATGCCTGGATTTTATTTTGCCGTTTATGTACGAAACATTATAGCTCTTCTATTTTTATTTGAAGATCCTAACTTGTTCTTTTTATGCAGATAATAACCCTGCTCGGAGCCCCTCGCCTCTGCAATAGTGGTTGTAGGAGCTTCAAAGAGTCAGGTGAAAGCTAAAGGTCAAAGCAACTTGTCAAATTAATAACTTGCCTATATGGTAATTTTGCCTACTATATTCTTCTTTTAATTCTTTTGCCTTGATATGACCTACGTCTAGCAGTATAGTAATATGTTTTATAAATGCACGTTATAAATAGGTTTCAGAGGAAAGGATTTGGTGTCAAGAATCTTACTTGAATTCCATTATGAATTAAATGAGATTCTTATTTTCATTGACTATATGGCTGATTAGTCAAGTACCATGTGTGCACAGTGTTTTTGAGTGGTGGTAATGAAATTAATTAACCATTTTCATTAACATTTTTTTTTTTGTATGAGAGGTGTGGTAAAACACTAGGCGTAACCATTATTCTTCATCTGTTATCTGTTATCTCTCTTAACTCTATAATAACAAAAATGTTTCCCTCAACCCCCAATTTGATACCAGTGATTTCTTTCCAAGTGTTACCAAACAACATATAATAGTGTTACATTACCATTTCTCCTTCTTATCTGTTTCCATTCATTTTCTATCCAATATCCATATCAAACATGCACTAAGTGTGATACAGTTACATTAACCTGATTTCTAGGCATTCTCTTCTCTTTCTTTTTTGTAGTTTTTGGTTTTCAACTTTACCCCTCTTTATATATATATATATATTGAAAGTACTCAAAGTAGTGTCCTTTTAGGCGTTCCGCTTTCGAGTGGTTGGGTCTTCCGATTCTGCATCTGTGTTTCTGGTGTTTATACTTGGGAGACTCTCTAATCTTGTTGCATGGAGATCCTTTAGTATATATGTGGTGTTTCACATCGATGCATTAGCTAAGTCAAATTCATAGATCTTTCACTGTGTGACCAAGGCTAATTTTCTTTCTTTTTTTAACTGTAGGCTACAAATGAAAATCTTCCGCCAAATGTGATTAAGCAGCTTGCAAAAGAGTTAAAAAATCTTGATGAAACTCCTCCGGAAGGAATCAAAGTGGGCGTCAATGATGATGATTTCACGACCATATTTGCTGATATAGATGGCCCAGGTCTGTTTTCCTATCTTTCTCTCTTAATCAGGCATGATGATTTCTATGCATATATTATGTTGTTATTGACATCTGCTCCTGAATTTCGCAGCTGGAACTCCATATGAAAATGGTGTGTTCCGCATGAAATTGATATTGTCGAGTGACTTTCCCCATACTCCTCCCAAAGGTAATTATTTCTTTTTCATTTGCTTGTACATCTTTGTCTCTTTGGTTAAATTCCCTTGTATATTTTCCTATTTTCAAATTGCTGATAGACTATTGATCAAGTACATAAATGATGATTGAGTACATAAATGATGATTTTTACATGTTATGCTTTGATATCTCCTCTGATGCTTCTACACATGAATGTGATTGTACACCCCCCCCCCCCCCCCTCTTCTCTTCCCCATGAATTGGTCAATGATATGTGGCTTTCAAGTTTGATTATGTTTGAATATGCTGTCTTTTACGTAACCAGAAACAAAATGTTAGATGTTGGGAATGTAGGAGCTCATATAGTAGGTTTTTTCCCCTCTTTAATCTATTTACTGTTTGGCCTGCTTCAATGACCAATGCTTTTATTTTATTTTTGCTGTCAGTTGGTATCTGATGTGTATTGCAATTTTTTTCGTCTAGAGAACGCATCCACTATGATTTAGAAATAATGATTCATCTTACTGATGACAGGTTATTTCCTTACCAAGATATTTCACCCTAACATCGCAAATAATGGTGAAATTTGTGTCAACACTTTGAAAAAGGATTGGAACCCAACGCTGGGATTGCGACATGTTCTTTTGGTTTGTGCTGCTGACTTTTCTTTTTTATTTTTAAATTTTGTGTTTTCATGTCATGTTTAGCCCTTGAGATCCTGTTTCTATTCTTAGTGAAATTCTCACACAATTTGTGGTAATTGTTTCCCTGAAAACAGGTTATAAGATGTTTACTTATTGAACCTTTTCCGGAATCTGCCTTAAATGAGCAAGCTGGCAAGATGCTGCTTGAAAACTACGAGGAGTATGCAAGGCTTGCTAGGTAAGCTTATATTCTTTATTATTTATTTTTCACTTTTGTTAAAAAAAAATATTTGGGATGTAATACTGTGGTTAATATATCATTACTCTCCTCATTCCTAAACTTGAGGGTTGGGAATGAGACTAAAAGTTGCAAAAGTAGTAATTTATATGGAAGCGAAAAGGAATTGAGGGGAAGTGTTGGGATAAAGAGAGAAATAGGGTTGATGGAGAGGAAACCGTAGAAAAATTATTTAAGTTGCAGTTGAAATGTCAAGGTCAAAAAGTGTGAAGAAAGTTTAGGACGGAGGGAATTATAACCGTTGTCACATTCTTTATGTGGCTAGTAAAGAATCTAATAATCATTAAGACTATTTTGAATGGTTTGGTGAAATTGTTCAACTTGGAATAACAGGACTTTTCATCTTTTTCTTATCAATCTATATTTGTTTGTTCTGGCAGATTGTACACAGGAATCCACGCCAAGCCTAAATCCAAGCCAAAGCATGGAGCAATTTCTGAGTCAACCACAGCTTTGAATGTCGACCAGAGAAACAACGCTTCAGCACAAAATGCTGATCAGAAAAGCACATTAGCAAACACTGGGGCTCCTTCACCATCCCCTCTGGCCTCATCAACGACTAGCAGTAAGGCAACGAGCTTTCAAGATCAGCCTGCAGGTTCTGCTCTGCCATTAAGTGAGAATGGAGCAGTAGGGTCTTCAACTGTGCCGCCAGCAGCTGCGGCACCTGTAGCGCAAAAGAAGGATGTTGGTTTGAAGGCCCAGGCCGAGAAAAAGAAGATTGATGCGAGAAAGAAGAGCTTGAAGAGATTATGATTTCAAATTTAGACAGTAAATTGTGACTGTCGCATATCGTTGTTTTAGGTCATTTATCTCTGACGTTACCCCTCCCCATAGGGTGTCACTTTGTCTCCATTAGAGGGTGGCACCATTGACAAGTTGCTTTGACTCATTGTAATGAATATGTATTTGTCTATTTGGGAGTTGTTTTTACTGTCATCTTGGCCCTTTTGCTCTTTGCACCTTCTAATAAGTTTCAAGAAAATTAAGTACAAATAAGTTTAAACATTACTGATTGATTGAATGTTGACGTTTTGCATTTTTTATACAGTTATTCTCAATGATTTGTATCCTTATTGTTGTTTAAAACTACGTTCTTCATCTCAAGTAATTACATGAAAGTGGTATAAAAAAAATAATTGATAAATATCCATAGAGTACAAAAGCATGATTTTTTTTCAAAAATTCCTCACAGAGGAAGATATGAGTTACTTGTTGAATCTCAAAAGTAAAATAGGATCGTTTTCGAGCAACAAATTGTTGAATAAGGTTGTTGATCATTCTAGATCGTTTTCGAGTAGCAATTATTGTCTGAAACTAAAGAAACTGCGGTTTCTTCCGATGGGACGAGCTTTGCTGTCAGGTATAGGCTCGACAATTTTTTCAGCATATACAACCTTAATTAATGAACGCCCAACTATCACAGGTATAGTCCACCACAAACGATCCAGGAATTTCAGTTAATAATAGTATATATTTTTAACAAATTGTTGGTTATAGCCATCCCAATTATTTCATGCTACGAATACAGATGAACTGGAAAATGCACATAATAACGACAATGAAACTCACTAAACAATACTCAATACTCTGTACCATCATCTAAGCTGAAGGAAAGATGAGACGACTAACATCAGAGAAAATGAGTCAAGCCATTCATCAAAATTAGTTGGTTCTCCCAAGCGAATCGGATACAATAGAAACCAGAAGAAAACATAAAGTCACCAAGAAAAGACATCATTACAGTAATGGGTAAACAAGGATCAACAGAAATCACATAACCACAACATCTCTAAAATGTCTGGTTTCCATGCATCAGAAATTACTAATGAAAAAAAAAGCTATAGGTCCCATAATAATTCACTAAGCCATTTTACAAATTTGACTTTTTCCCCCTTCTCCAACCACCAGAGAAATCCTTACTTGGCCATCATGACTTTGACGAACTCCTCGTAGTTGATTTGTCCATCACCATCGACATCAGCCTCACGGATCATCTCATCAACTTCTTCATCCGTAAGCTTCTCACCAAGGTTTGTCATCACATGGCGTAGCTCAGCAGCAGAGATGAAGCCATTCTGGTCCTTGTCGAAGACACGGAAAGCTTCTTTCAGTTCCTCCTCAGAATCGGTGTCTTTCATCTTTCTGGCCATCAAGTTGAGGAATTCTGGGAAATCGATAGTACCATTTCCATCAGCATCAACCTCATTGATCATGTCCTGAAGCTCTGCCTCAGTAGGGTTCTGACCAAGGGACCTCATCACTGTTCCGAGCTCCTTGGTGGTGATGCAGCCTGCATATTTAAAACAGGTCAGGTGACAGTAAAGAGAAGAGGTGATACATAAAGTATTCATCACCTCTAACTTATTAGTCTAAAACTAGAAAACTAAGTACAGTAACAACTTTAGTAATTAAGGATCACAATTTGACAGATCATGTTTCTTTAAGATCGCCCAGAAGGGTAAGGCAATAGATAGTGTCACACTGAGTCATCAGTGTCATCGCGACAATCTATACAAAGTGATACATCTCTGGTATAAGCTACCAGATTGATACTTCAAATCGCACAATCTAAACCAAATCGGTAAGCAAAAGCATGCAGAATTATGCAGGGACCAATGGCAAAAGCAAATCCTAGTGAGCATGCATGGATGAGAATCATACAGCACTATGGTCTGATAAAGTACCCAAGGGGTAGTTGGTGCCAAGTAACTATCAAAGGACACATCAAAGAGACAGTAATGAAGCCCAGAATAAAAGAACAAGTAAATGAAAACAAAAATTAAAGCATGGTTAAGATTGGCATCATTCATGTAAACCAGAAAATTGATTTACAAGACTAAAATAAACGGCTTAATTAATCAAAAGCATACAACCTCAAAAACACAGAACACAACACAGTCAACCATTGAGATCACAATCACATACTAACAAGATAAAACAAATACTTAAAGCGAGCAGTTGTCCATCAAGTGCAGTAAAAAACACATTCAATTTCAACAAGATTATTGATTTCGAACGTTTCAACTAACTATGATTTACATGTCAAAGAAATCGACAAAAAAATCTACTACCAACGCAAATTCATTCATTTATCATACAACAATATTTGCAACCGATACCATACCACAAGATTGGAAGCACAATCAACCAAAAGAACAAACCCACAATACCTAGTAAAATCTATCTTTGAACGGCGTCATCTACACAGAAGAACTTCACATTGACCCATTATCAATCAAAAAATCATGCATTCCATACAAACCAGGCATACCTTATACCTCCCATTTGATCAGTTCACAACCATCCACCCAAAATCAATCCCTAAAACTATAACAACAACCACCTCTATAAATGTGGTCAAGACGAGCTTTGAGGCAGTTTGGATGTACAAAACATCACTGAATAATCAACAAGTCACAATTTTTATTATCCTGTTTTGCAAAATTCCATCAAATTCCAAAACAAATCTACTCAAAAATTCATCTTTTCGATAAATCACGACGAATCTCTCCGTCGAAACAGTACGCAACCTTACCATACCTTCGATACAATAAACCCTAACATGACGAATAAATTCAACACTTTATTCACTGTTTCAAAAAATCCAACAAATAAACCTTTTGTTTCTTTCCCTAAACGAAGTAACCAACAAAATCAACAATATTCAACGCATTTTCATCAAATTATCCAAAAAAATCATAATAATTTCATCAACTTAATCAATTTGCAATTCCTTTCTCATATTCATCATTTCAAATTGAAAAATCACCTTTATCTACAAAAATCAAATCAATTAAACACATAAAACAACAGATCTTCAACATTATTCTCATAATCAATCAACAAAATAACAAATTCTTCAAGTCAAAAACGCCGAAAATCATATCAATCCAACACAAAAACGACGAAAAGCAAACCAAAAAAAAAAAAACCAAAAAATTCCAAAAACAATAGGAAAAATCAGATCTAGTAAACGAAGAAGAAGAAGAAGAACAAACCATCGCCGTCTTTGTCAAACAAGCTAAAAGCTTCCTTAAACTCGGCGATCTGTTCGTCGGTGAGTTGTTCCGCCATTTTTTTCTCTCTCTAAAAAACTTCTCCTCTTTCTCTCTAAAAACAAAAACTTGTTTTTTCTCTCTCCAAAAAATGAATATCTATCTCAACTTTAGGAAAACCGTAAGAAACTAAAAATAAAGGTAAATATAAATATTTATATTTATATTTATTTTTAGGGTATCACAAATAAATTTTTTATTTTTTTTAGTTTATTAATTGTCTTAATATAAGCCAGTCTTCTTCGTTTATATAGGAAGAGAGGGGATTAAGGTAGTGGGCCACCTTATTTCCTTTGATTAATTTGCTTATTATAGTATAAAAATAATTAATCTACATTTAACATATATTTATTGATATTTTTACTAAATTTGTCATTAATATTTTTTTTGTTGGTGTTAATGAATAATTGAATATGAGAAAAGTGGGGCATCTTCTTGCATGTAGTCCCCCTCCCCTTGTCTTTCGGTTTCGCGTTTGATTTTTGAGGTTTGCATGATTTGTCAAGTCAAGTCTTCCCTTTAAGGGGTGACTTGTAGATATTACCTCGGTTTTATTTTAATTGCAATAAAGTATGATTTATTTTCGCTTGAATTAAAACGAAAATCATATGAAATGAGAGTGGATTTTGCAAGGAGGGGGGGGGGGAGTGGATGAAAAATATTATTGTATCATGTATTGTAATATTGTGATTTTGTGAATAGTGAATTAAAAAGTTTAACTTATTAATCATTCTTGAATGGAGAGTGTTATTAATTTGATGCAATCTGGATGGAATGACAAAATGTTACAATTAATTGTGGACGTAGAACATAAAAACCATTTTGACGAATAAATTTTCTCAAGTTGTCATTATTTATTTTCCGTTTATTGCATTCACTTTTATTTTGGAAACAAGAATCTAATAAAGGAGTACATCAAAGAGAAAACTAACGAAGTAAAACGTACTACTACCTGCGTTACATATTATTTGCAACGATTTGACATAAAATAGAGAGGAAAAATGTTTAATCGTTGAACATAATATGTAACGGAGGTAGTATATGAAAATTTTGAATATTATAACACGCACATCTTCTCGTTCATTCTCTAAAATATAAGACTATAAGAGCATTAGATATAAAAGAGACTTTTATTTTGAAAATATTCGAGACCAAGTAACCCATGCTAATTGAGTAATACTAGGTAACCCATATTGACCGGCTAGGCTAGTAGTTGTAGTAGACTATTCGATATGGCAAGCCACAAATAAGAATTAGTGCACTTAAGGCTTGTTCACATTTGCTAGAATTAGTGCACTTAAGGCTTGTTCACATTTACTGAACTAAGCTGATTGAAGCTAAACTGAACTGAACTGAATAAAGCTTAAAAAACTTATTTTAAGAGATAAGGAAATTAGAAGCTGAAGTGAATCAAACTGATTGGAGCTGAAATGAAGAGAACTGAACTAACCCTTAAATTAGATATGGCAAATGCTAACCAACGCACCGGGGGCGTTCGATAAGCTAGCTAAAAGTAGAAAGATTAAATTAAAACTAACAGTTATAAAAAAAAATAATAATAATAATAATACTAACAATAATTACACCGATCGATGCGTGATTTTGTCATGATTTTCCAAATTAATACTTCCTCCGTTTTTTTATAATTGCACCATATGGGTTGGGTACAAATTTTTTTGTAGTGGAAAAAAGTAAGAGAGAGAAAGGTAAAAATACAAAATTGTCCATGTGACATATTGATAAACTGAAAAGTAAGTGTGAAAAAGCAAGGGTATGTTGGGTATTTGTAGTGTTAACACACATAATTTTTTTCCTAAAAAGAAAATGGTGCAATATTTGTGAAATTTCCTAAAAAAGCAAGTGGTGCAATAATAAAAGAAAGAAGGAAGTACCATTTTAGATAAGATTTTAAATGCTTATCCAACGCCCCGGGACGTTTGTTAGCGAGATTCAATAAATATTTACAAAATGAGCTCTTTTTTCTTATTATTCTCAATGATGAAAAAAAGAAAAAAAAAAGAAAAAAAAAAAAGAACCAATAGATATATATATATATTTTTTTTTTTAAATCTCTCTTTTTCTCATGATCGTCGATTGGCAGACACGGTGGTTACGCGGAACTTTACGCGGTGTGGCGGACCCCACATTTCCCTGATCAACATCTCACGTTGACTATTCTAGTATCTCTTCTTTGTCTATTTCATTTGTTGTCTCTTTCGATTAGAATGTCATTACCACTTTATCAATAAAACTTTGATTTAATTAACAACTAATCACATGCTTAGTCAATTGTTAACAATAGTAATAAAGATTATTACGCAACTTATTCAACTCCTTAACATCAAATCAAGGTTTATGTTATCATTAATTGATTTTCGAAATTACATTGGATTTGCAAGTGGTTAAATTTAATTGGTCCATAAGAATTGCTAAGTGTGTTTCTTTAACTAAGCTTTTTGGACAAAGAAATTGACATTTTGGTTGGTTGAAAAGATAATAAAGCTAAAATATTAGGTTAAAACTATTTTTCACAAAATAAGTTTTTACATGATTAAAATTACTATTACACTTAAAAATTTAACTAGATATATGATGAAGACTTAATTAATCAATCACTAGTTCACTACTGCAAGAATTAAATACATAGTACATCATCTACTTTCACGTAGATTTTTCAATTTTGGGATGTCTCAATAGTAACGTGGTTGTAATCTTTTTTCAATTAAGCATTTACAATTTTGATTGGTGTAAAAGTTTATACTATGTATCTTTGTACGAAGTATATCACTCCACCTGTCTCATATTTTAGGAATAAATTTTCATAAACAATTAAGCAAATAAATTTAGGATTGCATGTATAAAACCTTTAAAATATTGGCAAATAAAACCTTTAAAATATTAGCAAATAGGTAAAGTATTTGAATCAATTCTAAAGGCTTGAGTTATCTAATTAAGAAAAAAAATATATAAACATTGTACAGGTTGTTAACAACTAAGGATATGGTTCAGACATATTAGTTGGGTCTTTATAATTTTGGATATCGACCGCCTAATATTATTATCCACGTGGAGATTGCTTTTCGACCACTCGGACACTTGCCACACACTTGGGATATTCTTTAAATACTCCAACACATTTCACCTCTAAGGTACAACTTTCTTAACCAGAATAGTCTCAAATTACTTTCTGAAGCAAATCGAACTCATATTGACTTTATTATCGAAGCAGTTTCCTCAGACAAAACCTGAGGACAATTAATTTACTTTGATTGTGCACATATTTAGTTAGAAGATAATCTATTCCCGGTCAAGATACAAGTTTACATGCTATATTGGGAAAAAAACATATTGAAACTTCTACATTATATACTATTCCGATATTCTTGATTAGTAATTTAATTTACTATGTTAATACTGATGTTAATTATTAATTTTTCTTTAAAAAGAAGAAGAAGAAAGAAGCATTAACCAGTATTTTGTTTTTAAATTAAATACTAGAAAGCTCTTTTCATGAGGGAAATTCCTAATGTATCAATGACCTATATGTGGAATGCTAAATTGTAATGGAACATCTCAAGAAAATACCCAATTATGATCTTGAATTGCGAAGTTGGGCTTCCATTGATACTTTGGGCTTTCTACAATCTAGTAGCATCACTTATGGGAGTAAATGGTTGGTGGATAAAAGCCCTAAAAGGTGAAACCATCACGATTTCACTAGTGCTAGATTAATGTCTAATCAGCAATACTAAATAAAAGGCTAGCTACCTTAGCCCTTAGGTGATAAGAATTTGGTGTTTATAGAGCCACAAGGGCAGGCCGGGTGATACGAATCGATCCCAAGATCTCTTGGAATCGGGAGGGGAGCTCTAACCACTTGAGCTATCTCTCACTCTCTCGGTAGTGGCATTTATGATTTGCGACTGAATCTTATCCGAATATTTGTAATTCCACAGGAAATTTTTTTATACCAAGAGAAGGATATACATATAAAGTGTAACTATTTTATACAGAAAAAAAATAAAATAAAAAATATATCATTTCGAATATTCTATAGTTTGTTTGAGTATAGGCTAATGGAGTATTACCGTTATCGTAATTGATGCAAAAGAATTGTTGTGATGAACAAAACAAAATGCTTATAGATTTATGTGGTTCACTAACAATGCATTAATTATGTTTACTGACAATGGCGGGCATGGATACACCTACCCACTGAGTAGTTTACCCGGTTGATGTGGAATTGACGTGGCAATGATGTGGCAATGATGTGTAATTTTTTTTATAAAAAAAAACTGTTTATTTGACCCACTTTTAACACCATAAAATCATTAATAATGCAATTTCTTTTCCCTCTAGGTTTTTCCTTGGGAGGGCTTGTGTGCTAGCTTCCGTGGCTAGGTTTTCCTTATTCTTCAAGGTTTTTCTCGATTTCGATGGAGTTTTTGCCTTTTTTTTCCTCTTTTTTCGTCAATTGGACTCTGTTTCTCTATTAACATGGTGGAATCTGACCTATCCCTAACTGTGGTGGAGAAGGAGTGGTGAAAATAGCAATTCTGATAATAAAAGTCTAGAGGATCCTAATGAAGCTATAGATTGGGATGACACCTGGGAGGATGATGATGATGCTCGGCTCGAACTTGCTCTGGTAGGTCAACTCTGGACTAGCCGTAATGTGAATGTTAATGCTTTTATCAATACGATTAAGGGTGTGTGGCAACCTAATCATGGAGTGGACATTACGAACATTGGAAAGAATCGTTTTTTATTTCAATTCTATCACTGGAGAGATAAACATCGCATCCTTGACGAACAACCTTGGCACTTTGACAGACATGCTCTTGTTCTTGGAGAAACGATTGATTCTGTGAAACCTTCGGATATTGACCTTTTTCATTTACCAATGTGGGTTAGGGTCTATAATCTTCCATTGAAAGGGAGACTAAATCTAGCAAATGTTGAAAAAATCGGGAATAAATTGGGGGTGTTTGTTAAATTGGACACTGATGCTAAGGTTGGGATTGATAAGTCAATTAGAATTCGTGTAATGGTGGATGTTCGAAAACCTTTATTCAAGCATGTGCGGTTGAAATTGCGTGGTGGAATAGAAGAAGCGTTTGATGTTAAATATGAAAAACCCCCTTTGTTTTGCTTTTATTGTGGAAGGATGGGGCATGGGGTAAAGGACTGCGAAGAT